GAGAACTTGGTTCAATAACTTCACCAACAATCTCAACAGAAGCATCATTATTACAATACAAATTGTTCGCCTTAATTACCTTTGACAGATACTTCTCTGCTTTTACTCTGGTATCGCGAAATACGGCTTCAGCCTCTGCCATCCAGCTTTCTTCTGTTTCAAACGCTTCCTCTTCGATAAGCGTATCTACCAGCTGTTGATGCGCCAGTTCTACGGCTTCCCACTGACGCTTTGCCTTTTCAAACGTCTCCTTAATCATAGCATCGCCAGAATTTGCTTTCATCAAAGATTCCAACGATTTTATTGTCCTCGATAGCGCTCCTTTTCTGTTCCTTCTAACTATCGTCAACGTTTTCACTGCTACTGGTTCTTCCATCACTGTGGAATTCATTCACTGTAAATTGACTGACTTGTCGAGTTTACTAACGATGAGGGCAGCAACACAACAACGCCAACCAATACACTTCAATGCAGTAACTTTGAAACTTTATTCAAAACTGCCAACGCAAGATGTACTGTAAATAGTCTGGTGACTAAAGAAATACAGAATACAAAATCAGTGATGATCACTTGACTTCTACGTTTAAATCTTTAAAACTTTCAATACAACATAGTAGACTGATAACAGTCTAGATCAGTACAATAATAAGGTATGATATAGATTGGTAGCAAAGTGATAATTATGAATCTGATAAATTGTAAATCGAAATACACTTTATCTACAGTCAGAGACGAATGAACTATTTATTCATTATTTAAAACAAGCCTTACATGAATTTTGGCGCAACAAACTCGCACTCAAGTCTTCAATTTTCGTAAGTCAACAACTTTGACTACTTCGTAAATTTACAAAGTTGACTGAAAAACAAGTATAGTTAACACAATATAAATTACTTAATACAATTACTTTACTACGCTATGCTATAGAATCAATGTTCAGTTGTATTAAGATTTTACCATTAACTGCTATTTAACTGCAAAAGGTACAGTAATCAAATTGATCAATAAAATATTCCATAATTAACAGTAATATTTAATGAATTAAATTCAACATATTACATGTATATACCATACTGTAATCTTAGGAACATAATTGTTACATATACCAAAGGGGTAAAACCTTGAAATTATTACTGTATCAAGTGATTTGCAATATGACACTAAGGTCGGTTTATAACACACCGAAGGCCGCTGGGCTACGCACAAAGCATTAACATGTAACCTTATCACGCCTTCATACACAATGGTCAGTGGAGGCTTAGATTATAACATGTAAATTTTCACTGAGGTTTCGCACTGACATAATAAAAATTAACAATAACGTTCTAAAATGTCTAAAATGTTTTCTTAAACTAATACTAATCAAATACATAAAAATAACATACCCCAAATATGCAACATTTGCAAATTTATCATGAGTAACAGAAGTGAAGGTACACTCTTCTTCACAAACATGCCGCTACTAACGCGCTAACAGGAAATATAGCGCCACCAAATAGCACTACTCAATAGCGCCACCAATTTTCTTAAAACATATACTAGGAGATTCTTTACAGGCCCTATAGATCACAAAACTACCATCAAAAACAAAACATAAAAAAAATGCTTGTTGACATGAAAATTCCAATGGATTAAAAAGAAGCACTTCTATTTATATTTCACAAAATATAAAATTGGGACTTACCACTTTACAAATACACATGCACATTATATCGACCTTAACAGTAAGAAAATTATAAAACATAAATAGGCCTAATCAGAAAATTTTCAAAGAATTTAGTCCATTCAAGTCCATCATTAACATTACAAGTCTTGCGAGAAACATTAAACGCGTAAAAAAAAAACAAAAAAAAAAAACCAAATATCCTTTCGTATCAACTTGTATAATAAGCATACCTGTTACATATATATATATATATACACATGTATATACACATGGAAAGCACTATGTATGCTTAGAGTTCCGTTTAATAAAATCATGATCATACTGATATGCTAGGCCTCTCACTTCCAGAATGTGCTGGTGTCTCTGGCCCGTTAACCAACCCACAACACCAGAAATTAAAACTGTAGGATCATCAAATTTCTCTTCATTACTATTCTGCTCTTTGCAATCAACTTCATAATTCCATGCTACTGAAGTAGAATACCCTGTCATGTTTGTATCCTCTATTGAAAATCCATAACAGATTCCTCAATTAAGCATTTTGTTAAACTCTCAGAATAATCAGGGTCCATCAATGCAAAAATAGGCTCTTACAGCAATCTGGATTTGATGAAATAACTGTGCCTAGATCATAACAATTTAAACCCCACATGTTTCAAAATTCCCATTCTGTACATGGAATGTAGAGTAGGTAGTAAGACTTTTCCCAACGGTACTCCAACTAGTCTTAATAAATTAAAAATATATATTTTTATATTGTATATATTTTTGATATTTGATATCAAAAAAAATTTTTTTTTAAATATAATATAAAAATATAAAAAAAATGTATAAATTGTGATTTTGAAAAATAAAAGGAAACATATAAATACTCCCTAGACAAGTGACAAAGTAGCCCAAACAATGACAAAAACAAAATGGATATATATATATAATATATATTTATTTATTTATATATATATACTGTTATTTATTTATATATATATATAAAGTTTGCCTCTGTTCTTTATTATATATATATATATATATACTGTATTTTTATATACTTATTTGTGTATATATATTTATATATTTATTTATTTATATATATATATATACTGTAATTATTAATATATTTATTTATATATTTATTTAATAATAATAATAATAATACACATTTTTAAAGCATATACATTTATATATTTGTTTGTATATTTTTTGTATATTTATTTGAATATTTGTTTGTATATGTATTTATATATATTTATATAAAAAGTCTCATAACAGTCGTGGCGATCAACCCAGCGCGTTTTTACACAAATCCTTTATTTTCTTTTTTTTGCCATTATAATCTGGACTTCTTCCTAATACAGTTTCAAACATTGCCTGACGTTTTGGAGAATTAGCAAAGAACAGAAATACTTCATTGACTGAACCAATCATATTTCGAATAGCTGGTTGCTTACATGATGAAGCAATACTCAGATAGATTCAGGGACAGGTTCTGTTTCACAAGTGTTATGATCACAGTGTCATGATGAGAGCCAGATTCAAAATCATTGGTAGTTTCTTCCACATCATTATTATCGTAAACATGAAAGAAAGTATCTAGTTTAACACAACGTTTAACTTATTGTCACAATTGGTTTTAATGGTGCCTTGATGACTTTTCTGGCTTGTAGACGACAAGTGGAACACAAATTCACAAACTTTTGAACTGCACACCGTGGAAGGCATGTAAAGTTCCTTTCAACCTGAATGGAACTGCACTACACAAATTACTACAAATACAACAAAAATACCAAGTTAAACCTTCAAAAAAAACCAAATACCAGGCATATGAATGAAAAACAAAAATTAGTTTTCTGTCTCAGTCTCCGTTTTAAACTTTTTTTTTTAACTTAATATAAAAAAAACTAACTACTAAAACTAAAACTAGAAAAACTAGACTAGTGGTGGGGCTATGCAATCATTAATTATTTCATAAGATTCCTATCAAATCTTACACTCCCCCACAATGAGGATATCTCATTAATGCAATATTAAACAAATTGATCATAATAACAATAATGATGTACTACAACATGATATTCTCAAATATAAACCCACTACAGTACATATTACATCCACTGCTCCAGTTTAATTAATTTAACTACAGAACGCTTATAGACTTTATCTTTATTCTTAATGTCAGCAATCCTGACTTCGACTACCACTCCTACAGGCCAGTCACCTCTCTGGGCTTGGTTATCAACCACCAAAACCTTGTCACCTTCTTTTAGATTGCGGACCTCCTCAACCCACTTCTGCCGTATTTGCAAACTTGGCAAATATTCGGATATGAACTTTTTCCAAAATAAGTCAATAATAAGTTGGCTGAAATATAAATAAAAAAAGGGTATACAAAAATAGTAATAGAGATAAAAATAAATACTAATACTATATGTTATCTTTTTTAATATTTTTTTCTTTGAAGCCATTAAGCCATTTTGTACAATAGTCAATGTTAAAGAACATTTGTAGATCAAATTTATTTAAAATGGATTCAATATTTTGAAGCCATTTCTTTTATTTTTCTAGATGTAAACATTCCCAAATATTTTTAATTATTAGCTTCATTAATGAAATTATTACCAATTGGCCATTTCCTATATATATTAAAGCGTTGCCCAGTTACAATGACATTGGACTTATCAAAATTAAAAATCATTTTCCATTTTGTAGCAAAATCATTTGCCGCATTCAAAAGTAATTCTAAATCTTCCTCACTATCTCCAATTAAAATAATATCGTCTGCCCAGAATAAACTGCCGATTTTTACATCAAAAATATTTATACCTAAACCTCTTTCCTTAATAATTTTATTGAGCTCATTAATGTACACCTATATGGTGAATAGAATTGGAGATAGTGGGCAACCTTGTTTTACACCTTCGTCAATATTAAAAACATCTGTTTCATGGTCACCAAATGAAACCTTTCCTTTTATAGTATTCTTATTATATCTCTATGGTTTAAACTAAGTGGCACATAACAAAACTAGACTAGTGGTGGCGCTATGCAATCATTATGCGCGCTCGCCCCCCCCCCCCCCCCCCCCCCAATTGCTATAAATTAATTAGTTCTAATTCTACTTTAAATAATTATGTCAATAAAAATAAAAAATTATAAAGAATTATATGTCATCGTTATATGAAAACATGCCAAAAACTCCTATGGACAATTTCACGTTTTTGGTAGTGTCCCCTGAATAGGGGACCCCTATTTAGGGGACACCCCTATTAAGTCGTCCCCTTAATAGAGGTTCTACTGTACTTGCTATCCATAAAACGTGATTGTTCAACGAAATGTAAAGCTTATTAATCGTGGCAGGTCGTAATTATCTTGCATTTGAGTTCTCGTGTCATGCTTTTGACCTTGCTCCTTGTTATGTTAATTAAGAGGTCAAAGTGACGTTTTGTTCATAGCAACATCCAAACTTAGGAATTGGGCAACCAAATACGTTCCAAAATTTAGACGTAGTTGTTGCCTAATTTCAAGAGCCTCTCTACCAGCCTGCTCTCTACAGGATTCAACGAGATTCCGTTTAAAAGGTAAAACATTTCTGGCGTAGGCTAGGCCCCTAGGCTAGGTTAGTGTGAAATTTTAAAAAAATCATTTTAAATTTTCCTAGCCTAGGCTAGCCTAGCCTATCTTCCTTGCTAGGTCCCTGGCCTGGGCCTAGTTAGTAACTAGGCCCTAGGCCTATGCCTACGTAAGTTAGCGCCGGACTAGGCCCTAGCCTAGGCCTGCTTTCCTTGCTGTTGTGGCTGGTTGCTGAAAAATAATTGGTCAAGGCTAAGGCTAAGGTCAAGGCTAATAATAATACTCACAGTAGCTGTCCATACATAAAGAATAAAGAGAAAAGTGTCGGTTCTCTTTAGGGTAAGTTTACCGTATTAGACGTATGACCCACAATATGAGGTAGGTTGCATAGAAAGGCATCTTACCTTAGGCTTCCTATGATTATAGAGATTTGCTAGGTCTCTATAGATTCTTATACTACTCGGGATACTATATAGTAAATCGTGTTATACTTATTACTACAGATGACTTAAGATATAGGCCTATATGATAGCATAACTCACCTAAATCACTGCTGGCTTGTGGTCCAGGTGAAAGTTTAATGAATGCGGTTTGTATAATTGTAGTACAGTATATGTTGTCAAGGCTATCGTTCAATCTAAAGTGACGCTTCACCCTCCAGCCTCTCGTTGGGACGATGACGTCATCCCGGGGCGCAACGTCATAGGTCATGACCGCCCTTACACATGGGATCATGTGACCACCAGAGTCTATTGATCAGGTGACTGCCAGCTGGCCGGCACTACAACTATATAGGACAAAGTGGACATACTTACCATTCACTCGCAGGTGCAATTCACTCGCTAACAGTGGTAGGTAGGCTAGTACTAGTATAGGTATGTCTCGGTTTATCGTCAGTATCTCCAGTTCTCCTTTCTTCTCCTCTGCACTCTGTGCGGGGTTCCCCATAGGGTCTTCCACGGGTGCGTCGATTTCCCCCAGTGATTGGCTGCAACGTATAGATGACGTCATTCACAACAAATCACCGGGGCAGCGGCACATCACTCGTCCCACTTTTATTTTTTTAGAATTCCTTCTGGATTCTCCTGGCTTCCCCATCACAGTTGTTTTTTTTTTTTTTTTTTTTTGTG